GTCACTGTCTCTGCATGCCTTATTCAGTTATCTGTTGTACTCAGTAAACTTGGAATTTTGAATCAAACTCATTATTCAGTTCATAACATGATATGAAATATCCTCTAAACAAGGGAAGCAGAATGAGGATGATCTACCCACATAAATTAAATAAAGTGTTTGGTTCAAAATTCCAAGAAGGTTATCCAATATAAAAGACTGAAGAAGGCTGAAGATTACAACAGCCAAAATGTGAATATAACAAAAAAAAAAAAAAAAGAGCATGCTGGTCCAGTCTGAATAGCATCGCATGAAATAATAGTAATTCTTTATTCCATAAATTTCAAAAAAATATTTTTGATTTGGAGGATTTGCTTCCATTAATGTACATAATCAAAAGAAAAATGCTTCATGAAAGAAAGAAAAGAAAAAAAAAATCCTTGATATTCCCTTTTTGTAAATTAAAATCTGCTGCTACATATTACAGTTGACTTTTTTTTACTATATTAGTTAACTTTTAACACACTGCATTATTAATATTACTTCCCTTTCCACTGCATTCTTTTTCAAGGCTTCTCAATTTCTGTAACCTTATTGTTAATTTCACTCAAAGATGATTCCTGTTGCCATAGCAGGATATGACAACACATCTATGAAATTTAAACAAATTCAAATTCAGGCATCAGAGTTATCTTCAGTGGCAGGATAAACTTTTTGTACAGCAAATGAAATCACATACTGAATGATAATGGTTAAATACATTACTTATAATATAACATTAATTAGATAAGTCAGGAGTTAATAGTGAGTTGTTGAAAGACAGTATAAATCTAGTGTTAATAAATATGATATTAAAATCAACTATAGATCTTATGTTAGAGCTCTTTTTCAGATGACAACTGAATATTTTTTCAACATTTCCTCAGGATTATCCAATCTATTTATTATTTAATACATGCAATGAATATTGTTTAAATGGCAAAGATATTTTTACATGAATTGTAAACTGAGGTAGAGATCAGTGTCTTTTATAAAGATTCATTTTTGTTTGCTCATTAGCAGTTCCACTAATGTTATTTCAAAATCTTTTTCTCTTGTAACTGCTATAAAATAATCTAGCTAAATATTAATTAGACAACACTTTCACTAATAGTTAATGAAAATGAATTTGTAAATATAATTTTCTTTTATTTCATTTAGAAGTTTCAATTTTCTAAAAGTAACATTCATGAAATTCTATTCTCATTTCTATTAGAAAAATAAATAAAAAAAACACTAAAGATTTTTAATTTTATTTTTTTTAATTAATTTCAGATTAAGCTTAACATTTTTAACAAAAAAACTTCTAAGTGACTTTTCAATTAGACAGAATTATAGTTTCCTAAAAGGAAAAAAAGTGGTACTTACTCATAACTTGGCACAAGAATTTAGACAAATTCAAGATAAATTTATAAAACCATTTCAATTTTAAGAGACTGATTGCTTTTTTTTTTTCTTTCAAAATTTTATGCACTATGTTTTGCTAGATAACTTTCACTCCATTTTGTACACTAAGTTGTGTTTGTTTTTCTTTAGCAGTATAATATGGTACTTCTTGAAATATAAAAAAAAGAGATGCAGTTTTTTAGGTTTTTTAATTGTAGTATCATTTTGTAAACCTCAAAAGCAGACAGACATTTTTGAAATACAACAATATGAAGATGAATAGGTGGAAAATGAGAATTAAAATACATTAAATTCAGAGAAGATTTTATATATGTTGTGCGAATTGCCAGGTAAATAATTTGGGAGAGAAAGTAATTTTGGGTTAAGTAATAAAATATGTTTTAAATCTTTGTAAATGTTAAGCAGTAAGAAACGTACTTTTTATGCCATTTATCTAATTGAAAATGTAAGCTTTTCATAAACATTTTGAGTATGGATGACTCAAAAGTTTTTAAAACAAGAACATTTACAACAAGCAAAAGTACACATACAAATATAAAAGCCTTCATATTGTGACAATTGTTTGAGCTAGTAACATTTGTGTTCACAAAATTTGTCAATTTTAAGAATTATAAAAACATATATTATAGAAAGATGTAAAAAAATTAAAGATTATAGAAAACATGTAAGAAAATAATTTAAGACAGCCCTTAAACTCAACAGCAGTAAACAACCCATAGTGACTGAATATTTAAGTCTGTGTTCAAAGTGGCTCCTCATATTCCCACATTATATATATATATATATATATATATATATATATATATATGGTAGATTTTACAATAACACAAAAATTGCTGTTTTATGGGGTGTGAAAGACATGAACAGCATGTAAGCTGGAACAAATATTTTTACTACTTTAGTAATTATAAACTTCACATTTACATACTAAGTGGAAAAATCTGCTCAAGACCTGCATAGATCAAGTATTATAGATTTTAAAAGTATACAAATATATGGTGCTAGAATTGAGATATGCAACAATAATAATAATTTACATTTAGGAATTACTGTCTGTAGCATTTTGTTAGGTATATTCTATAAAGACATGAATGGGATGAGTGAATTTTAATGCTAAGTTTTGTTAATGCCTAGATTGTTATTGGAAGGTTCTACTGTAGATTTTAGAAGTATTCAAATGTATTTACTGATATAAATACTAGATACATTGTAAATGTGGCTATTTCTCTAAATTTAAGCCATAATTAGCAGCAGTTGAAATAACAAAAGAGATAAACTTACATCACTTTTTAGTAAATAACTAATTTGTTAATAGAGGTGGTAAAGGAAGCATCATTCCAATATTAGTACTATTAAACAAATTAGTAATTCAATAAGTATATGTTGACCTTATTTTTTTATTTTAAAATTCCCAATTACATTTCTTATAAGAAAAAAAAAAGTAACCTCAAACAATTATATAGAGGAAAATTCACAAAAAAATATATACATCTGTATAAAGATAACACAAGCTTACATATGAATGAAAACATACGCAGGCTAACAGACTGTTAAAACATGCATACTGCCATTTAAAAAGGCACATACATATATTCACACACACACATGCACAAGGGTTGGCTGAAAAGTTCATAGGCTGATTAAGATATAAATTTTAAGTAGACAGACCAATTAGTAGACTAAGAGATATGCAAGTGTACCAAAAATCAGCTGGTCAAACAATTCTGGTAGTCTGCTAATTGTCTGTCTACTTAAAATTTATATTTTGTTAGCTTATGAATTTTTTATAGTTGACCCATATATATATATATATATATATATATATATATATATATATATATATATATATATATATATATACATATATACATTCATCTATATTGTACAATTATAGTTCATTTTTGGACTCATTGCTTCATTAATGTTGACCTTAGGCAAGTCTTTTAAACTTTCTCATTTACTCATTCAGAAAAAAGTTTTGGCAAAGCCAAGACAAAAATATGAATTTTTTTTTTAATGTATGTTTAAGAAGGTGAATATACATAGTGGTAAGTGGAGAAATCTGATAAAGTGGAAAAACTTTTTATCAACAATGAATTTTGCCTTCAGATAAGAATGAGTGACAAATCTGTTGTTTTTTTTTATATATTAAAGTTGTTAATGTCTTTTTGTTAGGTTGACATGTTCCAGTTGGAATGAAAGAATAAAATTGCAGGTTTTTTTTTTTTTTTGTATTAAAGCCACCAATCTCTGCTGGACTTGAAACGGCCCGCTCTTAGCAGATCCTCATTACCCCTTACTAGCTTGGATTGGGCCAGTTTTGACTCCAGTAGAAATTGGCAACTTTAATACAAAAAAAGAAAAAAAAAAACACACTGTTTTATTCTTTCATACAAACTGCAAAATGCCTACCTTACAAACAGGCATTAACAACTTTAATATAACCCCCCCCTGCAGTTTTGTCTTTCATTCTGAGCTGAACATACCTAACTAACTAATGAAGACAAAATGCATTGCTAATTAAGAGCTTTTCTACTTTTTTTCTGATTTCTCCAATTTTATCCTAATCACATGCATAATGGCATGTATAAATATAAACACATTCATATGCAAATATATATATATATATATATATATATATACACACACACACATAAATGAAAAGATATAAGTATTTGAAAAGTGAATCAAGATGTGTACCAAGATAAAAACACTATCAGAAGCTTAAAGTAAAGCAAAAAAAAAAAAAAAATTTAATCTGACAAATGAACAAAAGTGTAAATAATTATTATTATTTTTAATCATTACACCCCAAGCAAGGTTATAAAGCCACTAAGATGCAAGGAGCTACTGAGAGTGAAAGAAGCAGACAATAAAAGAACAAGATTCAAGAAGACAGATGATGACAATTGATGTTGGATTTAAATTTTTGAAGATTGTAGTTGACAGGAAAGCAAGAAGCTGGAAGAGAGTTCCACAAGCGAGAAGTGCGGGAGAAGAAACTTATATACAAAAGTCTATTTGAGTAGGTCATTTGAAACCAATACAAACATACTTTTATGCATATGATGCAAACACTTTTTGCATACAAATATAATGCACATTATATAAATATATATAATGCACAAATCTTATATATTTATTTTTATATACACTAAAGTGAGTGAAGCTTTTAACTGATAATTGTTTTGAAATATTTTATAATATCAAGATTTCAGACTCCAAAGATGCCATATCCATGAGATATTTTCATCTGTATGTTTGTAGACAAGAGTTTTGCCAAAATCTCAGTTAGCATTTAGCCTCATTCAGATTTATAAACAATTATATAGTATAATTTGATTGATCATGATGTGATATATAAAATATCAAAATATATGCAATGAATTTCAAATTCTTCCTTGCTGGCAAATTATGAAGTAAATGCAAGGAAAAAATAAAGGAGAAATTAGTGTCTTAGTTTAAAAGTCAGCAAAAAGGAGGCAGGTTGAGAGAAAAATATTTATCATTTGAAAAAAATGTGTATAACCAAAACAAAAATCCAAAACAAGGATGCAAGATACTGTCTTTCTTTTTTATGTCTGTTGAAGTGCATCATTTTGGTAAGCATGATCTTGAGTATCTGAAAAGAAAAAAAAAAAAAACTAGTAGAGAATCTTTATTATTTGCAATATTTCTGAATTGTGTTTTCAATATTTTATTTAAAAAAAATGTATTTTTTGAAATTGTGCTTTTTTTTTAAAAATTAGTTTACTAATAATGCCACTAAGACACAAGGTGCTACTGGGAGTGAAAGAGAATTAAAAGACTTTAGAAAGAACCAGAAACCCCCCAATCCTAAACAGGAAACAAGGGATAAAATTTTGTTCAAAATGCCAGGGAGGAGTGTAAAGCTGAAGATAGGAAAACCTTCTTACTGAGTGTGACAGAATATGAGAAAAAATATTAAGGAGAAAAAACAATAAAAGAACAGGAATTAAGAAGACAGAAGATAACGATTGACATTGCGTTTAAATTTTTAAAGATCAAAGTTGACTGGAAAGCAAAACAACAGAAGAGAGTTCCACAACTAAGAAGTGTGAGAGAAAAAACTGTTAGCATAGAATTTATGGCTACATCTAGCCATTTCAAATATAAAATGATGAGCCCTAGTTGCCAATCTAGTACTGCATTTAAATTTGTAAAGTTTAGGTACCATAGAGGTAAGTTCATCAGAACAATTATCATTACCAATACAAGTATTTATAGGATAGGTACATGGAAGCTATGTTATGGTAGTAGGAAAGTATCTAAAGCCAAGATGCCAGGTCATGACCAATAACTTTGCAAACTTTGTATTTCATCAAGAATCTCTAAATACATAGCAGAATCACCAAACCAGATATGGCAGGAATATTCAGTGCATGAACAAATGGTAGATGCATCAGACAGTGAACCAACTTTTCTAGCAGCCAAACCTAGCAATTAATTCAATATAATATTTCTGTCTCATGTCAGCAGAAAACATTAGCCTGAGAAGATGCAATGGGTCCCACCCCTGAAGGTCAGCATTAGTCATGCTGATGGAAGGCAAAAAGGGTTCTCTTAGACAATTAAAAGGGAGCAGTTTTGTTTTGGAGGTGTTAAAATTAACAAGCCATTCCTTGCCCCAGTTAACAACAGATTGTAAATAATTTTTGAGATCAGCTGCCAATTTGACCTTATTGAATTGATAAGACTTACTATTAAGACAGGAGTCAATAATCAGAATAGATACTGAGTTGAGGACTGATGACAACAATAGAGAACAACATAAGTAAAAAGATAGAGCGGTAGGGGGGGAACACACCTGTATTAATGCAAAAAGATCTAGAACATTCGAATGAATCTATCAATAAGATATCACAAGATGACATGATAAAAAAAAAATATCAAATTCAAATATAGCACAAAAATTTGTAATGATTAACATTATCAAAATAAGATACTGGGAAAAACAAAGATTTATCCTGATCGAAAATGACTTTATTCCCTGGAAAGAGCCAAAATGGCTGGCAGTATTTGGAGAAACAATGTTGGGAAAAAAAAGCTTAAAGCACCAATCAAAATAACTGTAAAAAAAAAAAAAATTCTTCAAAATCTTTCTTTGGCCATGGTTAAGTGTAATTGACAAAATTAATAAAAATAATGTAGAAAAAGAACAGAGAAAATAATACTAAACAAATATATATATATATATATATATATATATATATATATATATACATATATATATGTAAAAAAAAGGCAAGAATTTAACAAAGAATTACATTCACATGCAAAAGGGATACAGTCAAGTGGCTATATTCAAGACAAGGATGAACAAAAATATGGTCGATGAGATAAAGAATTGTCTATTTTTATTGGTTACGAAGAAATCTCAGCATGCACCTGTAAGATTTGTCAATAAACTTTTTTTTTTTTTGGGAGATGTTCATTGTTAGCAAAGTACATTATATATATATATATATATATATATATATATATATATATATATATATATATAATAATTTATGTTTTTTAATTTGATATAATTATTTCTCAGATTTTATTTAAACATGTAATAAACACTAATTAAAGACACTCACATATTGCATAAAATAGTTGAATGAGATACAACAAGTATAAAAAATATAAACAAGAAATATGAGACAAAAATATAAATATTGATAAGTTTTTCATTAAAAAAAACATAACAGAATGAGCAACATATATAATATATATTTGTGTATCTGTAAGGGTCAATATTTTCATTGTATAGTTGATGGTTGTCCTAGCAGGAAATTACAAGTTATTCTGACCAAGGGTTCCAGCGGGCTGGACTTGTTAAAAAAACTGATCATGCCAGATTATGTGCTTTCTCCCAGAAACTGTAACTAAGGTTTGCTCAGCATAGTTGCAGTATAAAACACATGTGAAGTCTTTGGGTTGAGCAACTGTCTGTAATAGAGTGTGGCTAGTCACCCTGGCAGATGGGGGTGTTCAAAAATAAGAAGTATCAGGCCATTGATAGTTGAAAAATTACTCATAAAAGCTTTGTCAATAGTCAGTTAGTTTGGTACATGATCAAATAAGGTTGCAGTAGAATTAAAAGTGTTAAGTCAGTTGAAGTAAAACATTTCAGGTGTAAAGGATAAGAAAATAGCTTAGGAATAAAAAATAAATTTATGTGTTTAAAAACAGAAAATTTGGTGTTAAAAAAATGGATTGTTAATATGAATTGGACAAAATAAAATTTGACAATTCCAACTCAGAAAAGTTTTCTGCATATATCAAAAGGGAGGAGAATTTCATTACAAGGTGCATTAATGTTTTAAAAGCAAGACAATAATGGTTTACTGAGAGTAAAGGTTTACTGAGAGTAAAAGAAATGGAGAAAAAATTGAGGAGAAAGGACAATGAAAGAACAGAATTCAGAAGATGGTGATTGATGTTGCATTTAAATTTTTGAAGATTATAGGCAGCAGAGAAGCAAGAAATTGGAAGAGAGTTCCACAGGTGAAAGTGCAAGAAAGCAAACTATTAGAATAGAACATGGTTACATCTAGCTATTTCAACAGTAAAATGATGAGACCTAATTGCCAATCTAGATGTATGCTTCAATTCAGGCAGTTGATGTAACAAGAAGAACTTATTAGAACAATTGCCATAGAAATATTTATAGAAAAAACAGAGGAAAACCATATCATGGCTGTGGAAAAATGGCTGAAGATACCAAGTTAGGTCCTACATTACAGTCCCTTTTTTGGATTTTGTTGAGAATAAGTTGTTTAAATTTATACTGAGTACATTATTCTAATTCCATTTTTATTTTTAAATAATAAAAATAAGTTATATCAATTATAGCAGAAATGAGGCAAATTTTAAATTGAGTTATCAAAATTAATATTTCTTCAGAAAAATGAGTGTTAAGATTGTATAGATTTTTTCCAAATTTTCATTATTTTTCCAATTTAATCAACCTATGTTCTAATGAATGTATTGATTAAATGAAGAAAGGAGATGTTGTATATTCCTCTGAAAATTACCATATTCAAATGTTAAAGAGAAAAGATGTGAAAGCAGGAACCCCAAAATGCTGTTCCTTTGTACAACACACAAATGAAAGTTAATTGTTGATAAAACCAGAATAACATTTATTTACTAGACATTAGAATGTGATTCAAAGAATCTTCCAGAAGTTTTTTTTTTTTTTAAGCAGTTTTACCCCAAACAAGGCGGGAAGCCACTAGGACGCAAGGGGTTACAGAAGATTTGGAGCAAGATCAGATAGGAGTGATAGAGGAAAGGATGGGGAGAAGGATAATGGATAGATCAAGGCAACTGGAGATGTCGATTGACATTACACTTGAATAGTTGGAGATTATAGCTCTCAGGGAAACTGGAATAAGGAAGGGAGTTCCACAGGCGAGAGGTGCAAGACATGAAGCTATTGGAGTAGAAGAGATGGCTATATTTAGTAGTTTCGACAGTGAAAGGGTGAGAGCGGGATGCCAGCCTCGTAGGGTGCTTGACAATTTCTATCTGAATTTCTGGGATAAGGAGATCATTATTTATGTCCTAATCTTTGTTGCTTTTATTCCAATATAACAATTTCTATCTGAATTTCTGGGATTTGAACTAATATCATCATCTTTGTTGTGATTATTGCAATGTTTCAGCGATAAGAACAAGGCAAAATATTCTGAAACACAGACAGTGGAATAAGAACTATCTACCCCCATAGATTAAATAAAAAGTACAGTTTGAAATGTCCTGAAAGTTACCTGGATTAACAGATAGCTGAAGAAGGCTAGAATGCACAGTAGCTGAAGCATTGTGATAATAACAACAAAGATGAGGACATTAGTCTGAATATAAATAAAAATAGTTAACTGTTGATGAAACTAGTATAAATCAGAAAATAACATTTATTTACAAGGCATTGGAAGACTATGACAGATAAATTTCTATATATCAGAACAATTTTAGGCAAATGAATGACAAAGCGGAAAAAATACCGTGTGACTCATTTCATCCTCTAGAAGGACTTCATTAAATTAAAGCAGGGGTTGTCAAATGTTTTCACCAGAAAACCCCTTTTGTTTCTCTTCCTTCCCCAGTGACCCCCATTTAAAATAACTTTGAACCTTAAAACTCATACTGATGTTAGCAATTAAAATGTTAACTAAAAAATTAAGAAATTTGGATCAGGTTCAAAAATTTTCCTTCCAGTGTGATCAGAATTTTCCCCCAAAAATATGTTTAAGAAAATATATTAATGAATCAAGCAAATAATATATGAAGTACACCAAGCCTAAATACAACTGATGTTATTGAACAGAAATGCATAACTGTTTCTAATATCCAGTTAATAAGGTATTGTATGTAAAGTAAACAGTTAAAACCAGGAGTGAATTGTCTCAAATGCAGAGCAGCTCTGAAATTAATGCATTTGGATCTCTTGGGGGGTTTGCTTGGACTCTGTTTAATGAACCCTGAACTAAAGTCTTTGTTGATAGAATTATATATGTGTAGAAAAAAGAGGGGAAATATAAAAATGTCAATTATAATTATACACTGATTAGAAATGCTGAAGATGTTGGAATGCTGAAATTTGAAAGT